AGGCGGGGCAGGCTCTTGCCCCGCCCCCTTTAACCCTCACCGGACCACCGTCTTGCAGGTGCCGGACTCAGTACGCCCTCCACTGTGTCCCCGGTCCTTTGCAGCTATCCCATTGAGTCGCCTCGCCAGGTCGCAGACCTCAAGGAGAGTGGGCAGGACAGACACTCAAGACACGGGACCACTGGTGTCTGCGCGGCCCATGATTCTCAGTGCATGGACGAACCTCCACCACCCTCCCCACCCCCGCCTCCTTGCCACCCTTGGGGGCTTTTCCATGTCACGTGTTGTCCCAAGTCTTGGGCTCTGAGAGCAGCTGCGCAACCGCCCTTGGCCTCCCGGATGGAGAGATTGGGCCTCCAGTAGGAGAGGGATGGAGTGAACGGCCTAGTGTCGCACATTCCCACTTTGAAGACTGGGTACCCACAGCTAGGACCAGCGAATGACAAGAGTCCAGCTTTCCCTGACGCAGAAGTATTTCTTTGTCTCCAAGGCTGCTCTCCAGTCTGTAGAAAACTTGAATAATGATTCTAGTCTGGCAGCACTGCTGAGTCCCTGCCCTATACCTTTGTCCCATCTCAGAACAACCACCACAGTCCAAATGCTGGGGTCTTGTCTCTCCTGATGCCCTGGAAGGACCTAGGGCTGGACAAAGGGGACAGCTGTCCCCAAGCCCATTGATGAGACGTTGGGCATCACTGTTGGGAAGGAAGGGCACACCTCCCCCCACTGCTTGTCCCCAGCTCAGTTCCATGTCTGCATCCTCTGCCAGCACCCAGGACACCCTTCCAAGATTTGCCAGGGGACAATAGCCAGCTCTGGATGAGCCACAGAAATGAATGCGCCAAGGAGCCTTTGGGAGGGCTGTTTGGCACCCTGAGCAGGGAGGTGAGGAGGGGACTGCTGTTACTCACACACACACACACACACACACACACACACACACACACGCATGCCCCTCCAGACTGTGATGGTCTCAATTGGGGAAGAGCAGAGTGCTGGCTGATACTCACTGGCTCCTAGACCCCTGCACAGCCAGGCTTCCCCCATACTTCCTTCTCCTCATGGAGAGTCTTTCCCTGCTCTCACCAACATTTGAGGAAAATGACCTCTTTTGGAGGACCCTGAGTCTCAACACCAAGCTTTGCTGGGACCCTAGGTAGAATCTGCTGCAGCTTCTGTCTCTGGAAGGAAGGGATTAGGGGATACAGGTTGTGGAGGGGCTTTCAGCACTCCCTCTGTGTGCCACTCCTGAGGAAGAAGGCCCTAACTCTGGCCCTGGCTTCATGGAAGCCTCAAGAATGCTCCCTTAGAAACAAAAAGCTTCGTGGAGGGGGGGTGGCTGGTCTGATCATTTATCCAGCAGCTGTTGGCTACCTGCCCTAAGGGCTAGGAACACTGGTGAGGCAAGACAGTGCCTGGGCCACAGTGCAAGGGGAGCACCAGGTTCTCTGTTCAGGCCCCCAGCTGTGTAGACCTTTAGGGCTGGAGAACAGCTAGGAGAGTGATTCACTAGCCCTGCTCCAGAGAGAAGAGCAGATGGAACAAGGGAGCTGTTTCATGCTTTGCAACTAGCTGGGCAGGAATCCAATTAGATGCAGCCAGGGCCTCCCTGGGGAGTCTGGCTAAACTCAGCCAGGGCCTCCCCAGAGAGTTTAGCCACCCCAGCCCTGATTCTGGGGCCAGGTTACCAGTGTGGGTTCCTTTTGACCAAGGATGTGCTGACCCCTGCTCTTTTGGTCTGCAGGGGCCAACTAGGGGTTGAGGGCTTTGTTCTCCTCAAGGGAATGTTTCCTCATTCACAGCATCATGCAATTTTTGGACAAAGGAGGAGGGACTGTGGGTGAGAGCTGTGTCTAGCCATCACTGTTTCAGGAGCTGCCAGAAGCAGTCGCTGAGGGGGAGGGCCGACTCGGAGAAGCCCTGTTTCCCACCTGCCAGGGTTCTGGGCCAATGGAGCAAATGCTTTGCTGTCTCCAAAGATCCTGAGGAAGCAGACACCCACTTTGTCCCATATGATCCCCAGTTCACCTCTGCCTACCTCTGTACTTGCACCTTCCAGTGGCCAACAGGGGCTAAAGGGCATTGAAACACCCTCCATAGTCTGATGAGAATCCCAGCCTCAGGGCTTTGGTTCTGCAAAGGGATTGAAGCCCCCAAGCCTCTTCAACTTCCACCAGTAAAGAAAGTAAATTCCTACCTCTTGGCCCAGGACCAAGATCCAGGAGGAAACAAGCCAGTCACTTCTTCCCAGGACAGTCAGTCTTCTGAGGGCAAAAGGAACTGCCCCTGCTGGAAGAATGAAGGTTAATGGGTTTTGGAAACCTATAGGGCGACTGTCATTCCTCTCCCTTTGAGGCCTGGGATCAAAGGTATAGCTGGTGGGGCACTTGGGGCCTACTCCTACTCTAGCTGACCAGCAGAAGCCCCTCTGGCCTGGCTAGAGGGAGTCAGGAGTGCTGGTCCAGGCTCCAGACCTGCCCAGGCCCACTCACCCAAGCCTCAAGGGAAACTCCACTTTCCTTTCTCATCTACACCTCTAGAGAAGAGTGTGGGAGGGGTTGCATGCTCACTGTCCTCTTCTACCTGCCCACCCACCCACATGGGGCCAGCTCTGTTTCTTCAGGAGTTGCTGCCTGAAGCTTGCACATACCGAGAAACCTCTGTCCCAGGCTGGGGTGACTTTGGGGCTTGAGTATGATTCTCAAGGATTTTCAAGGGTAGAGCAGAGATATGTGTCCCTGGGCTGGTCACTGTGGTCAACTCAGAGGAGTGAAAGGATCAATTCACCAAAGGGGCTCCTCACCCCTTCCTCAGGCTCCACCCACCTGGCACAGAATCCACTTCCACAGACAAAGGGAGAAGGGACTGAGGCCAGGATAAGGGCTGTCAGATAGGTCAAAGGTCAGCATACTCCAATCCCCCTACCGCCAGAAAGGCAACATGGACAGAAAAGCAAATCTGAGGGTCATCTGTGACCCTCCCTGACACACTCTGTAGGTCTCACTTTCATGGAGCTGGCTGGTGCTCAGGCCTTTCTGCTCTGCCTACCCTCGCACCTTAAGCCCTTCTTGCTTCTTGGCCTCAGGTAGACAGAGGCAGTCTGGTACAGGTACCTCAGATTTGAGAGTTCTTCCTAAGTCTAATCAAGAATGAGGAGAATGAGGTTCTGTCTTTAGGATTGTTGCTAAGTGCCATAAAGTCAACTATGACTTGTAGCGACCCTATGAACAACAGATGTAAACCTTCTCCTATCCTGCACCATCCTCGTGATTTCTGATGTTTGAGTTCATTGTTAAAGTCACTACCAATCTTCTTTTTTTTTCTTTTTTTATTAATTGTATTGAAAGTTTACAGAGACTTAGAGTTTCCATTCATTCATTGTTGCACTTTTCTCCCTGCCCACACCCTCCCCCCAAATCGCTCTTCTCTTTGAAAAGTAAAATTCTTTCATTGTTATACAATCCCTCCCCCCAAGTCCACTCCACTATGCAACCTTCATTCTGGACTCCTGTCATGACAATAGTACCTAATCATATATCCCTTTTAAACAGTTCTCTTCCTCATCTGTTTCAATGCAGTATACATTATTTATCTCCTCTTTCTCACTATTCCCTCAACCCCAATGTCAGTCCCATTTTATAACAGTGGCCTGATGCAATATTTGTCCTTTTGTGACTGAGATACTTCACTCAGCATAATGTCCTCCAGGGTCACCCATTTTGTATAATATTGCATGAGTTCCTTGTTTTTCAGTGCAGCGTAGTATTCCATTATGTGAATATACCATAGTTTCCCTATCCATTCGTTTGTTGATGGGCACTTGGGTTGTTTCCAACTCTTTGCTATTGTGAACAAAGCTGCAATTCACATGGGTGTGCATATATCTACTTGGGTGGCGGTTATGGTTTCTTTAGGGTAAACTCCCAGTAGTGGAATTGCTGGGTCAAATGGTATCTCTATTTGCAACTTTTTGAGAAAGCACCATACTGCCTTCCACCGTGGTTGCACCATTTTACACTCCCACCAACAGTGGATAAGGGTTCTAGTTTCTCCACAACCTTGCCAGCATTTGATGTTTGCTGTTCTGTTAAATTTTGCTATTCTGACTGGGGTGAGATGATATCTCATAGTTGTTTGGCTAATCTGTCTTCTTAAAGGTCTTTCTTTTCTGACCTTCCATTTTTCCCAGAAAGTTGCAGACCAAGGGTCCCAAAGATTGGAATAATTTTATAATTATTAATAATGAGACAAACAGCCAGGAATGAGATAGAGCAGAGAGCATAAAACAGGGGGTCAGCAGTTCTCGACTGAAGACCCCAAGCCAAGCTTCTCTGTATCTTTATTGAAATTATCCGGAAGTAAATCACAAAGAGAATTCAATGCAAATGAAGCCAAGCTCTTTCTATTGAAAACCTTCTGCTTGACTCAGGAAGGAGGGGTTCACAAAAGCAAGAATTTGGTTTACCCTTAACTATTAACCTTGATGCCTCAGGGTGAACTCTAGCTCAGGAAGTAACACTTCCTCTGTAGGGGGCCCCTTGCTGTCTCATGTCTTGCAGGGAACAAACAGCTCATTTTCTAGGATCTGCCACAAGAGAAATCCTAACCTATATAGCTGTAATTCCTTCAATTCCTGAACAAGGGTTTTCATATAATATTTGGTATAAAGTTTGGCTTCCCATACCAGCAGGATGTCTTTTTCCAAGGACTGGCATCACCTGACAATATGCCCAAAGTATCGGAAACAGTGTTTTGCCATCCCATCCTGCCTTTTTCAGACCATTCAGTCAGTCATTGCCTTTAACGTTAAAATAGCTCACAGCTGACACTCCATCGAGTTTCCAGAAGCAATAAGTCACGTGGAAAGAGATTGCCTATCTTTCTCTTATGGAGCAGCGGTGGGATTAAAATTCTCTGTCACTATTGAGTTGCTAGATACCATCAAGTAGACTCTGACACTTAGAGATCTTGTGAACGATGAATCAGAACCCTGTCCTATCCTGTGCCATCCTCATCATCTCTGACACACGTGAACCTCTCCTAACAAAATGCTCAAAGCATGAGAGACAAAGCTTCCCATCCTTGTCTCCGAAGAGCAGCCTGGTTACATTTTCCCAGGACATACTTGTTTGTTCCTTTGTCAATCCGTGAGATCCACAGTATTCTTTTCCGACATCACAGCTCAAAGGTGTCTATTTCTGTCATCCTTAACTATTGTCCAGTTTTCAGATGCATAGGAAGTATTGAAAGGTCATGGCTTGGATCAGGGGCATCTTGGTCTTTAAAAATGATGTCCTTGTTAAAAAATTTTATTTTATTATTTTTGTGCATGTACCGTCAAATCAGATCTGACTGTTACAGGAGGAGACTGTCCCTCCTTCTCCAGCAGAGCATCTGGTGGATTCGAACTGTGCGCCTCTGGGATTGCAGTGCAGCTTCCTGCCGCTAGGCCACCAGAGCTCCCTCAGATGTCCTTGTTCTTTAGCACTTTGAAGCAGTCCTTAACAGCAGCTACCTCAAAGCAACACCTCTTCTAATTTCATAAATTTGGTACCAATGGTGTTGATTATGGAACCAAGTGAAATGAAATCATTGACAATTTAAACCTTTTCTCTATCTATCATGATGTTGCCTATTGACCCAGTGGTGTGGATTTTTACTTTCTTGATGTTGAGATGCAATCCTTACTGAAGGCTGTTGTCTTTGATCTTCTGCAGCAAGCATTTCAGGTACTTACTTTCAGCAAGCAAGGCGTGTCATCTGCATATTACAGGTTGTTAATAAGTCTTCCTCTGATCCTGATGCCACATTGTTGTTGTTGTTGTTGTGTACCATAGAGTCAGAACTGACCCATAGCTGGCCCCCTAGAGGGTTTTCAGAGGCAATTAATCACACAGGAGGAGATTGCCCATGCTTCTCCTGAAGAGCAGCTGGTGGCCTCGAACCACATGCCTTTGGGACTTCTTACCATTAGGCCAACAGAGATCCCAAGTTCTCAAATTATTTGCTCAGCATACAGATTGAATTGTTTTTCTTTGTTGTAGGTTCCATCGAGTTGAGTATGACTCATCTGAACAAAAGGTCTGAACCCTGTCCTATCCTGTGTCAGACTGAATAGGTATGGAGAAGGGATGTAGGCCTGAAACACACTTTTATTTGCCATCATAGTTCCTCTTTTAGGTAAACAGAATTTGCTTAAAAGAGGAAAACACTTTGAATGGAAAATTGGAGCTGAGGAGGAAAAAGTGAGGGGATTTTATTATTTTCTTAATAAAAAAATTGTAATATTCAACAATTGTCTGAGAAGAGGTCAAGTTTCTTGGAACTGGCTTTTCTAGAAGGAGTGATGGAAATACTCAGTCTTTCAAGATGGAATCAATCCATCATGAAGATTTCTGGGTGATCCCTCACCCAGTGCAACTTCCTATCTGAGTGTGGCTTCACTTACTTTATTAGTGTTTTTGCCTATAACAAGGCAGGACAGAGTCCTCTGGGTGATGTGTTCAATTATACTACAGCTCCCTGTTGTCCCAGTGACATTAGCCCCGTGTTCGTGTCAGGTGACAGAGTAGAGCTTGTCTGGTCTCCTGCTCGTGGTGCTGAACTCTACGAGACTAAGGCTGTACACGGGTTCCACGTGGTGGAGTGCAATGACACCACCCCTGCTTGTACTCTTTCAGCTCTAGAATGTGATACCGAGTATAACATCACAGTGTATTCCTTCAGCGAAGTCAGGGGTAGCAATACGTCATGTATGTCACGATTTATCACCACAGCTCCCTGCAGTCCTGAAATAAAAAATGTTTCAAAGGACGCAGTCTCCTTGATTAATGTGCGCTGGCGATCCACTAATGATGACGCCACGTACACGGTGACTTCCCGGGGAGAGACAGGGCTGTATCAGTGCAGCAGCACGGGGGACTCCTGTGCCCTGGAGGGCCTGCCCTGCGGCTCGGGGTTCTCCATCACCGCAGTGGCCGAAACACTGGCAGGACGGAGCCTGCCGAGCTACAGTGTGCCCTTGGAAACCGTGCCATGCTGTCCAGTCGGCCTGACATTAACGCAAGTCACTCAGTCGGTCATCAATGTTAGCTGGACTATCGGGACTGGGGCCCAAACCTACGTCGTGGTGCTGGAGTCCCACGCTGGACAGTCAAAGTGTCACACGCATGAAACCCACTGCCTCCTGGGATGCATCACGTGTGGCATCAACTACACGGTGACATTGAAAGCAATTAGCGCCACCGGACTGACTGCGGAGTGTTCCTTCCGAAGTTATTCCTCTAGTGCCTGTTGCCCTTTGGGGGTGAAATTATATAGGCTGGGCCCTAATGGCATCCGGATCTACTGGCAAGCCTCCAGGGGGGCTGCCAACTACAGCACTGACCTCTATGGCTCCAAAGGCATCTTCACCTGCACCCCCAACTCCAGCCCCAACTTCTGCGACGTCACCGAGATTCCCTGTGGAGATGTGTATACTGTGATGGTCTCCCCAGTCACTGAGACAGGACTGAAGCTTACATTCTGTCCAAAAAAATATATTCAGTAACCTGTTCTGGAAGTACACTTGGAATGGTGATTTACAGAGGGAAGAGAAACGC